ATATGGAGGGATCTCATTCTATTCAAATAGAATGAGGAATGTTTTAATTGTGTAAATAAGTTTAATTGTGCCCTTGAAGGATAAAATCCTTTCACATTGTCCTAGAAAAGTATTTATAACCCTTAAAACATTTTAACATTGCTTTACAGATTTAACAACTAAATGTTACTTGATACTCAAAGAGGAGTTACATTACCATGCATTATCTTATTTCTCCTTGTTACTATTCCAAGTAACCTTTTATGGATAAAGTTGTTGCAGCAGTTCTCTTCCAAGCTCTGTCAAAAACTTTGACTTCAATAGAACAATGATTGACCTCTTTATAGAGGTTGCATGCTACAGAGAGAGGGTGCTTTTGCAAATTTGTCATAAAGCCCAGGGGTTTCCTGCGCACACCAACAACTTGTATTTCCAGTTGGCTGTGATCTTAGTGTTCCACCCCTAAAGATGCCTCTAATCTCAAAGATGGTACATAGCCATCACAATTAGTCGTCACTGATAGCCTTATCCTCTCTGAATTTGTCTAATCCCACCAAAGTCAGATATGCAGACCTCCTACAGAGATCCCTGGAGAGGTACTGAGGGTGTAGAGTAGAGGCAAGAAAATTTCCTACACAATGACTGCCTCCTTGCAAAATGAGATCATAAATGTTCTGGTGGGGAGTTACAGCATCTGCCAAAAGAATGCTGGGCTTGGCAGTATACCAGTGCCAAAAATAATATACACACACCAACCAGGTTTTAGAGAGATAGATCTTAGAAACTGCCAGCAGCACAATCAAAAGGAAACATTGTTGGGTAATGTTTGGATTGAAGAATAATCTTTAATGTTTGAAATAGCCTTCTGTTTTTCACAGTTGCGTTAAAGGAAATTGAGGGGATAAAAATCAAATCTAACTGAAAAAATGCAAAGTACATAACCTCCAACTGTCTCAGTTTGTCAGGGACAGGGCCAATCAACCTTCTATCTTCCCACTTTTTCAACTGCTTTTAAAATGTCCTAGCTTCTTTCTTCTCCCACTTTCAACTTTTTTCTTCAGCTTACTCCAACTGGTGCAAACAAATGTAAAAGGACAAAATTTGCACTCAATTCAGTGGGGGGAGAGAGGCAGAGTCTTGCTTTTCCCAATAGTCAGGCAAAAGCACACTGCTGCAACCTCTCCTAGCTTATTTCTTCTTCTTCTTCTTCTTCCCCACAAACTGTTTTTTATTGTTCTCTTTGGATACATATAGATCTTGTTTAGTTCATCATTAAGTCTGTGATAGTGGTATGCAACCTTCACCATCTCCCCAATTTTTTTTTTCTTCCATTCAAAACATTCAAGGAAGATGCAGCAGTCTTCTGAAGAAAAAAAACATCCTGTAACCATTGTGGAACAGAAATCTGTTTAACAAAAAAGGACAATGAGTCAAGATTCTTGAGAAATGTATTTATTATACATGTTAATTACCACAGAAGGGTATAGAATAAATGGCATACGATCTAAATGACATTCAATAACAAGAATGGTTTTGTTAAAAAAAATACAACATAATCTTTACAACATAAAATTACAAATAATACAATTAAATCCAAATAAAACTGAAATCCAGCAACGGAACAGGAAATGAAACAATGAAAAAGAGTGTTTCTCTCAAAGGCTAAAACCATCATGGTTTTAGTTTGGTTTGGTTTGGTTTTGAGTTCCTGCATGGCAGGGGGTTGGTCTGGATGGC